TTCCTGAGCCCATTCTTTTTCGAAAGTCACTTACACAAAGCTTCCTGTGTTAGAGGATCCTTCTAAGGAGCCTCACCTTAGATGACAATCTGTCCATACTTCTGAAGTCTCCTTTATACAGACCAACTTGTTTCCCCACCTCCAGAGACCTGCTCCCTCTGGACACCAAAGAAAAGATACCAATTGACTCTCTGCCTCCACCCAATCCCTCTAAGGCTGTTCAGAGGACAGATAAGGTTTCTTAAACTTGTTTACCTCCTCTACAAAATACTGCTCTACAGGAATCAGACCAGGAGTCAGGAAGAAGACCTGACTCATCTTGGGGCAACTTGTTCCAGAGTAGGAAGATGCACTCCTCTGCTACTTACTAAGCGGCAGCAGAAAAATACAGGGTGCTGGCTTGTTGCTAGTCATCTTAGATACTCTTGAATGAGGCAGCCATAATCTCAAGTGTTGGCATTCTGACTACATTCCAGGATACCGGATAGCAGAAATATGCTCCTCAGGACTCAGCTTCCTGCAACTACTGCTGCTTTAGCCTTTGCCCAGCCCAAGAGATACATGGGCCTTGGCTTGTTCCCACCTGCCTTCTAGAACACAGGAGACAGGCAAGCCCCTAGTCCAGAAGGACTGAGGAGGAACACTCATTTCTTTACTACTGAGTTTTATCTATTTTCATTTTGATCCCTCTGCCTAAACTTTGTCTACCTCCTCTCTCTCTCTCTCTCTCTCTCTCTCTCTCTCTCTCTCACACACACACACACACACACACACACACACACACACACACACACACACACACTCTGATGGTGCTCCTTTGAATTCTCAAGGATATTTTTTGTACCTGTCTGCGTTAAGACTTCTGACCAATAACGATGGATATTTTCTTGCACACTGATGAATTCTCCAGTGTCCAATTGGGACAATTCAATTCATTTCTGAATGAATTAAGTACTGGTCCCCTACAGATTAAGAGCTCATTCCCACAAGAATTTTCCCCAACTTTAGATGCCAATCACAAACAGCATTCTTACTGGCTACTTACAACTTATGTCAGGTATGACTGCCAATCAAAGTTTCTGTTCCCTTATATTTGTTTATTTATAAGAGTGGTCCACAGAACTCAGGGAAGTGCTTCAGCTATTATCATCTCTTGAATTTTTATTACATTTATTTATTGTGTGTGTGTAGGTATGTGCTGACAACCTACATGTGGAAGTCAAAGGACAATTTGTGGTATTTGATTCTCTTTTTGCACCATATACTGGGTATTGAACTCACATCTTCAGCCTTGCCAGCAAGCATCTTTACCCCACTGAGCAATCTCAATAGCCCTTGATTTTTTTTAAATAAATGATACAAGAAACAATAGATTAAATCAATGCATAAAACAAGTTGGGGGAGAGAGGGCTGTGGGGTACAGCTCTCCCTTGGCTTCTCTGGTCATGTCACTTCCATGTATTGAGAATCCAAGAGTTCTCAGAACCCTGTCCTTTGGCGATTTTATGGAGACTTCATTATGTAGCATGATTTGGGTGAGGTATGTCCAGCCTGTGGCCCACACACAGTCACAGAGAGATATGAGTGAATTTCAATGCAAAATTGTAAACTTACTGAAAACATGAGATTTTTCTTGCGGGGTGTGTGTGTGTGTGTGTGACTTGATAGCACAGTTCTGGAACATGAACTTTGTAGATGTCACCATTTTGTTTGTGATGTCAAAAAGATTGGACACACCTACCTATGAGGATCAACTCAAACTTCAGCCCCTGTCTACTCTCTGGAAATTACGGGATGAGGCTGAAAGTTTCAACTCTCTAGTCACCTGGTTGCTCCTGGCAGCCAGCCCATCCTCAGCTGCAAATGAGCCAGCTGGTTAGTGTATAAAAAGACACTGGGGAGGGTCCCAAGTGTTGGTCCCAAGGGGTTCAGAAGCTTGTGCCAGGAATGGGCATGACAACAAAAGACATTTCTTGTTATAAATCATAGTTCTAAGATTTGTTGGAGGCCTTATAACTATAGGATTCTCTTGAAGTTTCTCATCATGTTTCATGTTAATGAAGAGCTAAGGCAAAGCTTTCTTAAATCTGGGGAACTGGACTGCTAGTGACATGAGATGTGAGCGACAGTGCTAAATGTGGCTACTCTTCCTTAAGCAGAAGTTACTCCATGATTTAAGGAAGGGAAATTCACACACAGACACACACACACACACACACACACACACACACGCACGCACACACACGCACACACACACACACACACACACTCATACCCTAATATGGATGTACATAGTAGAGAGAAACACTCCCATTATTTCTGATAAATATAAAACAGTAACATGATTTTATACCAGTACTGCTTTGGACAGTGTCCCCATGACCAGTTTATCCTGTAGTATGTCTATATCCCTCCAAAACTCATATATTGGAATCTAAGCATTAGGAGGCAGGATCTTTGGAAGATAGTTAATTAGATTAGTGATAGGTAAAAAGTTGATGGAGAATGAGCCAATGGAGGCTGAGGCACCGAGGCATAGCTAAAACTCCACCAAAATAGGGTTTATTAGCAAAGGAACACATAGTACAGATTCCCTTTTGGGCAGGGAAAATGTCTGGCCGGGTCTTGAGCTGGGGTCTTTTAAAAAGGGAGGCTTCTGCTTCCTGCAGACTGACAATGAAAAAACGTTTTAAAAGTCTTTTTTTCTCCTAAACTTTTTCTCAGGCAAAGGGGCTCAAACTTTTATCTTAGGCCCTCTTGGGCATCAAGAAACTGGTGCTCAGGAACCATTCCAGCCTTTTGTGTTATAGGATAGGGGGCGCCATTGTCATCTTGCTACTTCCTGCTGGACAGGTTCAACGTGGGGGGCTGGATTGGGGCCAGTTAGACAGCAGGGGTTCCCTCTTCATGCATTTCAACAGGGTCCTCTATGGTTGACAGGCGCTTGTGTACATGTGGAGGGAAGGAAAGTAACAACTGATTAAAATTAGTAAGAGTTAGTTTTTGGATTTGGTCCTGAAAATATCTGAAGAGACAAGGAGCAATGGTTAGCACAAGGTAATAGCTCATTTTTCTTTTTCTTTTTCTTTTTTTTTTCCTCTGCCAGGGCTGAACTTGAGAGTGTTGGGCTCAAGATTTGTTTTCAGGCATTTTGATAGCTGTTGGAGTGGCTAGAATCAGTGTCAGTTACCTCTCAAAGGCTTCTAGATAGCATCTCAACAGGGTCCTCGATGGTTAACAGGCGCTTGTGTACATGTGGAGGGAAGGAAAGTAACAACTGATTAAAATCTCAAAGGCTTCTAGATAGGGAGAGAAAACAAATTTAGCCATCATTTCATTTTTTTTTGGCTAGAACAATAGTGGGTTGCCTCGCTTAGCTGTAAGTGGGCACTACAGTATTGTAGACCAAGATTTGAAGTCTTACATCTGAGTAATGTTGTTTCAGAACAAAATTATCAATGAGAGATAATTGTCTAAATAACATAAGAGCTCATGTCTAATGTCTGGGTTGTGTAATCCCCTGAACCCTTAAAATATACTGATGACTTTAATTTTGGTTATACTTTCCTTTTGGGTGTTTAAGACCATACTGTTGGCCCAAATAAACCAATTAATTTTTACTCTTAAGGTCATATGAGATTTGGTCCTCAGGGTCCACATGGGCTTGGGGGGAGCCCCTGGCTCCTCAGGCTTTTCTTTTACCAGTTCCATCTATGTGAAGATAAGTCAAAAGGTCTTGCTTGACCAGGGCTTTGCTTGGAAATGTCTTGCTTGACCTGGGCTTTGCTTGGAAGCATGGAGCAAATGTTTCTTCTGTGTTGACCCTCCTCTTTGCAGACTGGACCCTGGTTCAAGTCCCTCTTCTAGGGTCTCCATGGCCTCCCTGAAGAAGAGGACAGGTGACTCTCGGAAGTTACAGGACATTTTGAGAGATGCGCCATAGCCCCTGGAACTTGTTTGACCTTGGAGGGCCAGGAACAAAAATTTGTCCCTTTAAGTCCCTCTGACCAGATTACTATAGGCCTTAGAGTCTGGCTATTAAACATCCAACAGGGTTAATTACACCAGTCTGGTACATTAATTACCATGTGCTATGTAGATAGAGCTTGGGCAACATCCTTAAATAAACCTTGACTAGACATCCTTAGACTAGTTAGCTAAGCTGCGACCTTAGAAATTTCAAGATTGTCTACACATAATCCTTGTCTCATGCTTGTTATATTGTAACAACCCTACACAGACCTTCATCACCTGCCCAGCTCTCTCATTTCTCTGTCAATTCTGGAAATGCCTTGTCTCATCCTTGTTATACTGTAACAACCCTACACAGACCTTCATCACCTGCCCAACTTTCTCATTTCTCTGTCAATTCTGGAAATATCCAGCCATCATAATTTTCATACAATTAGGTGGGCAGAGCTTTCAGCATGGGATGAACACCCTCATAAAAGAACGCCCTATGTGGCCCATTTGCCCTTTTCACTGTGAGACACAGTGAGGTATCAGCAATCTGTAACTTGAAGAAGGGCCCTCATCAGATCCTACGTGTGCTGCCACCCTGACTTCAGAATTCCCACCCCCAAACCATAAGAACCATCACTTGCAAGCTACCCAATCTATGCATTTGGCTATAGTAGCCCAAACACACTAAGACATCCCCACAACATAGTAGACAGCACACCCTGGACCCACAATATTATTAGGGGCCCATGAAAGTGTTTTTTATTTTAAAAACAGAGGAAATAAATTTATTTTTTACTGAGAAAGGCATTTTTAATATATAATATTAATTTATTTGTCAATACAGTCTCGTATGTGTGTCTTACACAATTATCATCTTGTCATGGAAATTGGCCTATGAAGGCAAAAGTGTCTAGAGCCCACAGAAGTCAGGATGAAGCCCTGTTACTAGGGACAGAATTTCAGTAAACAGAAAACAGATGGAAAAGTCTGTGTTTTAAACATCATGTTCTTTTCATTGGTTATTTTTGAGAATGGAGGTTTTCAGTTTCTGAGGGAATGGATCCCAAGCAGTAGATTCTCATCCATCTTGAAAGGCAGTAAGATTTACACAGGGATGATGACCACTCTTCAGATGCTACTGTGCATGGAAGTCCATGTTGAGTATGTAGCTCCCTCACAAGATGCTGGTTCAGCATCCAATATCACCACCAATACTTAGAAAGGGTGGCAGAAAACCTCTTGCCATCCTTTTTAAAAGTATTTTCTTTATTATTTTTATTCCACATGTATGAGTATTGTCTGCATGTGTATAAGTACACCTGTGTCATGCAATGCCCAAGGAGGTCAGAAGAAGGTGTTGGAGCCCCTGGAACTAGAGTTATGGATGGTTGTTAACTGCAGTTAACTGTCAGTGCTCTTCAGTGCTGACCCATCTCTCCAGCCCCATCAAACACAAAATCTTAGACCTTAGAGCAACAGTTGGACCTCCTGGGCCCAACCAGCCACCAACACAAAGCATCTCTGTCATCACTCAGCATCAATTTGAGCACATCCTGACATGACACTTAAAAGTTTCAAAGCTTTTTCCTTTTGTAATACTGTCTTCTAAAGAAACTCGGGATGAGAAAAAATGCAAAGATGCAGGTTGTGGAGTCAGTAGGAGGCTCTCAGAATGAGTGTACTTCTGAACACGGTGCGTCATCGAAGGAGGACGAGCTACAGATTGTGGGCAGTACCCACAAGGATCATTGTTGTCTCTTCCTCTTGGGGGATTTGTTCCAGACCATCGTCTACCACCCTGTGGAGAGTGCTGTAGTGCTGCCGGTCTTGATGGAATGAATGCAGCTCTGAAGCGGCCTCCCAGGCAGCAAAAGAGGGCATGGGAAAGACATCTGGCCTCTTGTTTTCAAAAAAGCATTTTAAGTTCCTCTCACTCAGCTTATTGGCATAATCCAGAAATTTGTTTTCCAATTGCTCCTTCTCCTTTTGTGCATACGTCTTCCAAAAACTCAGCTGCAGATAGCTGACTTTAGATCTGCAGCGTGCGTAGCAAGTGGTGAGCAGAGAGAAGAAACATGCTGAACAAATCAGGCACCATCCTAGAATCTTAAGGAGAAAGAAATATTGAAGACACAAAAGCAAAATGACTTCTCAGGGAACTGCGCAGTATTCCTGGACAGTCTATAACAAAATTAATTCTACAGTCATTACCTCGTCCCATTTGAAATTGTCATAACTTCAAACATTTAAAATTTTTTAAATTTTATTTTCATTTTGTGTGTATGAGTGTTTTGCCTGCATGTATACAAGTGCATCCGTGTCGTGCAATGCCTGAGGAGATCAGAAGAGGAAGTCGGATCTCCTGGAACTGGAATTACCATCAGGGGTAAGCCACCATGTAGGTGCTAGGAACTGAATCTGGGTCCTCTGCAAGAACAGCCAGTGCTCTTAGCCACTGAGCCATCTCTCCAGTCCCAACTTCAAACATTTTTTTGACAGTCAAAGAGTTGAGCCAATATCTTTTCTCTTCCCCAACATTGTTACTGTGAAAAGAAATAACCAGAAGGCTAACAAACAGAAAAGAGTAAAAACACAGAATTTATTAATCAAGCTCCCAAATAGTATTAGTAGAGGAAAGAATTTTGAGTGAGAGTCATTGTGGTCAATGTGACTGAATGATCAGTTTCCCTGTCTGAATGTTGAGGGAAAAAATAGAATCATTCCTAGAGGATTACTTGTTCTTAATTTTAGAAATTAGGAAAAGCAAGCTTTTTTCTGAATATGAGTAGTCCTGTTGGATTTTTTAATTTTAAAAGCAGATCTCTACAGTTAATATACCTTCCAAATTTGTTTATTGTTCCAATTTTATTTTTCAGAATTGATTAATTTTATACTTGGGCAGCCAACAGATTTCTTTGAAAGGATCTCTTGATTTCAATTCAAATGACCCTTAACAGTTGGGTCCAGTTGGAAAAAGAAACACCAATCTGCAAATGAATCCATTCAGACAATAACACAGTCACAAATCAGCTTTAACTGAGTGGTTCGCAAACTTTGGTTCTGATGTGTGGTTTCCGGAAAGGGTCTCAGCCTTTGCATAAATGCCAGCACTGGCCTGGCATCACTTGGGGCTAAACCCTAGCTTTCTCCTCACCATTAAATGTTCTCTGTATCTCAATTTCCACAGCAATATAAAGGTTACCCATCTCAGAGGGTATTTGGTAGAATCTAATGAAATGACACTAGACATATAAGCTTATCAGTCTTAGCTGTTATTAGGTGCTGTTTCAAATGTGTCTTTCTATAGTATGATTCCTGAGTGAGGCAGGGCTACCCCTGCCTGTGTGAAAGTCCTCATGCTCACCTTCTATCACTGTGGACTTGTGGTTGGCTGGGTCAGAACATCCTCTTTCCTTCAGCATCTCCCTTCTTCTTTCTCTGTGACTCGGCCTCCTATGTGCAGGCCATCTTACCTCTACTTGAGCTAATCCTGGTAAGTTAGAGACTGATCAGTTTCATATTTTCCTTCACTTTTTGTGTGACCTTAGTATTGAATGCCTCTCTCCTGAGCGCCAAGTGCCAAATCTTGTCCTTCTCCCAAATTCACAGCTAGATCGCCTACTAGAACATAGTGTTTGTACCCATCCAGCCTCTGATGGTGTCCTGTTTTGTATGAGTCTCTTTTCCCAAGCCCTGGCAATTTTCTCCTCAACTTGGAACACTTAACAACATTCTAGACCCTTTATGCATATTTATGTCTCTTATCTCTGAATCTTCCAACAGCTTTGAAAGGTAGGTATTGTTATCCCCCACGTGAGAAAACAGGTTCAGAGAAGTTAAGCTCACAGCTCTATGTCACAGAGCTTATGAATGGCAGCATGGGGCTTAAAGCCAGCTCACCTCCAAGGCTGAGCTCTTTCCACAACTCACTCCACTGTCCTTAAGAACAGAGACTCATCCAGCCAGGTTTCTTCTTGCTCTGCCCCACCCATGGATGAATGCACTTTTCCCACCCTGCCCACATGCTCAATTATTGCTCTGGACTGGGTGATGCCTGCTGCATCTGAACCTCATGGTCAGCAGCTGCTATTGCCACACCTCCCTTCATCCACATCTCTGAGGCATCCTCCTGTAGGTGTCAGCCCCAGGTCCATTATGACCAACCTAAGCTATGCCCAGATGTGATGCTTTCTTTGGATCTGTTTAGAGAGGAAGAGTTTACACAGTGATAAATGTTTGCAGCTGGCACTAGCTGAATGGAGCCTGGTGCCTGCGGAGGTAAACCATGTGTCATTCATTCTGTCATAATATTTGTGAGTAATACCTTCCTTTAACAAAAGATGGAAGGCATTTAGGAACCTGACATGTTCTATCTAAGATATGCTTTATGCATTAGACAAAAACAAAATTTCCTTAAGGGTGTTCTTTGGCTTATCAGTATATACAAAGAGCATGTCTTTACTGCTAACCATTTCAAATTGTGTGGTCTGTCTTAAGAGCCAACCTTGCTTTGATGTGTCTGTTGTAAGGAAAAAAAATCCTTGCTGAAAAACCAAAATTGTACTGTGTCAGTCCATTTGTTCTGAAACAAACAGTATTCCAGAGACATTATATTTGTTTATCTACTCTAACTGCTTCTTTTGGTTTGAGAATGCAATTCCTACCACCCACAATAGAAAATCAACTACTTCGTGAGGCTGGGCCAGGGCTGTGCATCTAGATCTGTGTTTATATACCTGGCAAGATGGCAAACTGCTTCCTTGCATCGATTAGGTGAGGCTACAATTTCTTCCTCTTAAATAAAACAACGCTTCAAATTTTGAGCTTCCAAAGTAATGTGAGTACTTCCTTACCTGTACAGCACGAAGAGAAGCCATGGTTTCCCCCAGGAATATGGTCACTTTTCACTGAAGACTATTTAAAGTTTCCTGCGTCCCACTTTATATGGGAAAATTCTCAGTTCTTACAGTATTTACAGTAGAAATTGCAGTTGCCAGGGACCATTCAATAGGATCCCTATGCTAATCACACCACATGGTACTTTGAAAAGTACTAGCTTACTTGATTCAGCTATATTTTAGTGAATGAATAATATAGGTTTGCATTTCTCAGAGAAGCCAGTTTGAAAAGAAGTAATTGATAGAAGACAGTCATTTTTAATTACAGCTCAGTATTAACACTCGGTGTATGATTTGCTGTTATGCATTATTTACAAAGTCAATCCAGAGAGATGGTTTTACAGTACTTAAGTATTTACATATGCATAACTCAGAGGATATTTTCTTTTTGGAAATGGAAACTACCCAATCCGATCAGTAATTACACTGTGCCATCCTTCCCGTAAAAGCTTTTCCTGAAATTGTCTTAATGCATCATCATGTTCCATTCCATTTATTTTCAAAATATTCTGGCAAGATTTAGAGTCTGCCCTGGCTGAAGGGAGGTGAGAAAGAAAACTTCCAGCTCAGGCTGGGAGAAACAGGCACGTTTGTCCTTACCTGAGACTGGGCTTGAAGGGACAATTTCACCTCTTCATTGTCTGTGGGTGGCATGCTACTTTTGCCACAAGAGACTTTGTAAAGTTCTTCCCAGCATTCTTTGGGCTTACCCTTGCAAATCATCTCCAGGAGCCTCGAGCTTCTTGTTCCACTCATAGCACATTCATAAAACGTCCCATTAAGCAAAGCCACAGAGAGCCACATCACTGGGGCCACGAGTGAACTCAGTATGATGTGGCCCAGGACGTAGAAGAAACGACAGCCGTGTCTCCTGGGGAAGATTTTCCTGGGGTTCACACAGCAACCTGTGAAGAGTCTCCACGCCTTGTTGTTCAAAAAGAATCCTAGGATCAGCAGCACCCAGGCAGGGGCAAAGAGGAAAACCAAACCATAGGCTGTATTCTCTGTACTGCAGGGGCACTTAAAGGCCACAAGTGAGAAGAGCCGTTCACTTCCCAAGGTCAGCAAAGCCATGAAGCTGTAGCCAATAGCAGTTTTTTGGTTAAGAAAGAATTTTAAAATGCTCTGAAAAGCATCCATGATGGAGGTACAGTGTGTAAAGAGGGAAAACGTTTGTCTTGCTTTTGACACAGCAGCTGTGGCCCTGGCCAAAGAGGGTGGAGCTAGTTCTTCTGCAGAAACAACAGTCGTCCTTCTCAGTCTGAATCCAGCCAGATAAGGAAACAATGTCATTCCCCAGGAATGCATATTTCCCAACAGCGTTCAGATAATGCCTCCTACTGGTGGAGGTTGAGATGTGAGGTCCGCCAAAACACTGAAAATTAAATTCAGAGTGCACAGAGGCCTTTTTAATATTCTTTCCATGTGCTTTCACATGCTTTCAATTACAAATCAGAAATTCTCATACAAATAATAGTCTAGGAATTTTCCAGTGGGAGGCGCCAACCCAGCAGAAATAGGATTCAGGAGTCAAAGCCAATCTCCAAATGAGTTTTACGATGGCTTTCTTTCTCTTGCTCTATGCCTTAAGATTTGGAAGAGGGGTTATTTTCCTAGCTTCTCAAAAAGTCTTGCATCAAAGATTTGAAATAGAATTTAGGATTTGGGATAGCTTAAATTTATGGGGGAAAGTCTAGGAACCATTTGAGTTTTAAAGAATAAGAGGAGGCCTCATTTTTTTCATGCTAATCTCTTGATTTCTGTCTCTTCCCTTTGAACTCATACCCACCCCACCCACAACTTTACACTCATGTTAACACAAAGGCAATCCTTCTAAAACAGGAACAGATTCTGCAGTAGCCCACTCACACCTTCAGGGCACCCCACTGCCTATCAGTTGATAGATATGGACCTTCCTTGAATCTCAGTGTAGTGTTTCAAACCAGCATGAGTTCCTACAACCAAGAATGCCCTCTACTTCATCTTCGCCCCCAACTTGTCTACTTGACAAATGCTAGCTCACCTCACATTCATGTATTCTAGATCTAAGCATGGTGTCAAGCATAGATTGGATGTTCACTCAATCATTTGTTTTGCAAATAGCTATTGAGTACTCACTATATGGTAGGCATTTGATAGACAGGCAGCTCTCATAAATGCCTGCCGAATGAATGAACAAAGGAACAAACGAATGAATGAACAACTTTGTACTTCAAATTATAAATAATATAAGAAAATTGTTTCCATTTCTCTCCTACACTGTGCTTAATTTTAAAATTAAGTTAATTAAGGCCTTTGAAAGATGACAACACATCAAGCTGACAAATTTCCATTAATAAGCTTTAAAAGGCAGGTCTGGGTGTTTTGTGAAAAGGAACTGCCTTGTGCTAGGAGCCAAAGAACTAAGTTATGCTACAGTGTTTGTTGTCATTTACCTCTCTAAACATCAGCTTGCGTATTTGTGAAGCTAGGGGTTCAAAACCAACAGTGGGGATAACGAGATGGCTTGACAGGTAAAGGCACTTGCTGATCTGAGTTCAATCCCTAGAACCAAAGAGCTGGACGAAAAGAGCCAACTCTCCCTCGTTTTCTTCCGCATCCACACACACGTGTATACACACACACACACACACACACACACACACACACACACACATGTAAATAAATAAATGTAAAATAAATTTTAATTTAAAAAGAAGTGAGTTCTGCCGGGCATGGTGGTGCACGCCTTTAATCCCAGCACTCAGGAGGCAGAGGCAGGAAGATCTCTGTGAGTTCAAGGCCAGCCTGGTCTACATAGTTCCTAAGGCTATGCATAAGCAAGCAGTTACAGAAACCAGATAAGCAAACAGTTACAAAAGAAGGACCCTTCCAGGGTTTTATGGGTGTATTTCTCTGTGGGAAGTTCTTCCTGGAATAGTTCTGAGGTCAGCTCTTCCTGGAACCAGGGGCCTGAGCCAGGGCAGGATCTAGGACGGCTCATCAAGATGAGGGCTTTATACAAAGTGGATGAACTTAGGCCATCATAATACCATGCTGCTATGTTGATGATTAATAATCTTTTCATTTCTTGCCCTCCTTATGGCTGTGTCTTTTTTAAAATGTTTTTTGAAAGTAATATTTTTTTCACAAATGATATTTTCCATAGAAACCAGTATTTTAGGACATTCCACTAAAATAAAAGGATTTAAGAGTCTCACATGGCATAGGGCCAGTAAATTGACAAGATAAATATGAAGCTGGGCATCGTGCCTGCAGACTCAGCTTGGCATGCTTGCCAGTGTGCTGTGATGCCTGGAATGAGGCATTTGGTTGTCTGAATAGACTTTTGTTCTAGACTAAGTCTTAGTAATTTTTTATCTCATTATCAGGTTGCTTTCAAGATGTACTTGGGAATTACACCAAGTGTGACTTGCAACAATTCAAGCAGAAATGAATTCTCCCTGATTCTAGACAAGAATCCTTTGGCAGAGTTCGTGGAAGCACTTCCCGCTGGGCGATCCTCTTTGTGCTATTGCAACTTAGTCTGTGGGATTATCAGAGGCGCTCTGGAAATGGTAAGGCATGCATTTTACTTTGCCATGAGAATTAGTTAGCAGTGCTGTCCTCAATATGTTGCAACTTCAAATGAATGCATAGTTTCTTAGGATGAGAACTCTAGGACCAAAGCCAGGCCTGTTGTGCACACCTGTTATAACAGCTATGTGAGAGGTGAAGGCAAGAAGATCAGGATTGAAAGTTCGAGGCCAGCCTGTGCTACAGAGTGAGTTCAACCTCAGCCTGAGCAACTTAGTAAGACCCCATCTTAAAATGTAAAAACTAAAAATGAAGACTGGGGATTTTGCTCAGTGATGCCTAGCACAAAAGGAAAGAAAAGAAATCCAGGAGCAGTTCAGGTGGCTGTGGCTGACAAGTTTTCACAGCTTAATACGTATATAGTCAAGTTCACTCAGCCTTGGGGCTTATCGGGCCACTGTGTAGAGGCTTCCTGAAGTTCTTCGCTCATAGACCTCTTTGTAGATCTAATCACAGCACAGCAGTCTGTGGTGCCAACCTTGATGTTACTACCTGGGAAGGAATAGTTGAGGGCGTGTATAACAAGGTACAGTTCATTGCAGGTCGTTTTCAAGGCTGACTTCCTTGCTTAAGTTATTCATTGGTTTAACGGATAGTCATTAGCATCTGATGCAAGAATTTCCTGGTTGGGGAGGAAATAGTGTCTGCCCCATAAAGTCCCAATGACAAACCAAAGTTCAGTTCCATCAAAGTTTATCTTGAGGAGCCAATGAGTTTATTAGTCGTATTTACAGAGCAGTGAGTGAGGGGTTATTGACAAGAGTGTGAGTGACTCCAAAGCAGTAGAGCTGGAAGGTCCACACTCAGCATGTAGGATGGTTTCTCTATGGTCACACAGAGAGTCCCCTTCCACAGCCTGTATACCACAGCCTCTCTTTGAGATCCCTGAGACCATGTGCGATCAGGGTAAAATTGCATACAACTCCTTAGGAGGAGTGGCTGTAATCTCAGGTGAGGGTCCCATGACCCTCCTCATCCCTTCCTTCTATGAGGGAATGTTAACAGTTCTCAAGCCCAGCTGACACAGCTGATGTTGTAGAGATGGTGGTTGTTTGACTCAGAGGATGGTGCTGTGCAACACCATCTGTTCAGTGTCAGGCGCTGAACATGCAAAGAGAGAAAAGATATTCTTTCTGTCCTTAGAGAATCTTCTGTCTAATTCAAAAGGCATGTGTAAAAACATGATAACGGGCTAGGGGAGGGGGGCCTAGAGCAAGAAAGAATCCATAGAGTTTTGAGAGAAACTCTGAACTGGCTTTTGAAGGAAAAATAGGAGTTAAATGAAGGCGTTGGTAAGGCGAGCAGGAAAAAATACTCCAGGTAGAAGAATCAGAATGCCCAAAGGCCCCCAAAAATGTTTCTTTCAAACAAGCAGGAGCTTGAATTAGTTCAGTAGGACTGACATGAAGATTAAGAGCGGGATCGTTATAAGAAAGGAGGCTTAGCTTCTTTATAGAAGCCTGCTAGCAGAAGAGGTTCATATGACAGTCTTGGAAATTCAGACATCTAAATTGAAATGATCAGAGTTGATGCAGTTTTATAGTCAAGGAAATGATATTTTGAAATTTGTGTTCTAGCTATTCCATTCCCTTCTCAATCAGATGAGCATACACATGATGGGAACTATGCTGGAGGGAGGGAGGAGAGGAAGCTGATGGTGGTGACCTCAGGTAAAACCAGACAGAGTCCTGACAGCAGTAATCAGGGGGCGGCTCAGAGGGGCAGCACTTACGACGGCAGAACAGATGAGACCAAGGTTGCACTCAGCTGAAAAGAACAAGAGTGAAGAAGAAAAGAATCAAGAATGGCTTCTGGTTTCTGAACAACCTGTAGAGAAGGTTGTACTGTTAACTAATAGAGCGAAACTAAGAGGAGTGCGTTTAGGATTGGAAGATAAGAGAAGCTCCATTTTAACCTGCCAGTGTTAAGATATTTAGCACACACAATGAGGACATTCAGTAAGAAGTTGTTTAATTTTTTATTTTTTGGCCATTCATTCATTCATTCATTCATTTTGAGACCAAGTCTCATCTCATAGCCCAGGCTGACCTCAAACTCTTGATCTTCCTGCCTCAGCCTCAGAATGCTGGGATTACAGGAGTATGCCTCCGCAAGAGAGAAAAGAGAATCTGTCAGAGACTGATGACGCAGGATGGCTGAGGAAGGGACAACAGTCAGCAAGGTCCTGTTTTTCTAGAATCTTCACTGTTTAGGATAGTGGGCCCAGCAGACCATTCTAAGCATGTATTGTTATTCTACCAATAATGATCCATGCATGATTTTAGTTATTTGTGATAATTAGGGAATGGATGAAATAACAGATAATCCCAAAGTATAAAACAAGATGGAGAGATGTATTATTCACACAGATTCTCCGTGCTTCAACATGACACTATTTTAGGTTCGACCTGTGTCAGTGGCAGTGGTTACCAGGAAGGGAAGAGGAGATATGGAAAGGAACAAGCCTGTAACTGAGGCAAAAAGGATAAAGAGATTTTCATCTTTCGTGAATTACTGTTGAATATCCATGCTGAATGATGTGTTTTAGTAGTCTTGTGACCTCACATGTCCAAAGAGCCTCAGCTTAGTTTTCGTGTTTCCTTAATGGCTTTTCCATCACACATTTGAAAGGCATAAACCATCCTTATGGAAGAAAAAAGATGAAAGTAAACATGGCTTCTGGATTTCAAAGTGCAGTCTACTCTTGTCTGTTGGAAGGTGGGCATCCCAAGGCCTGGGTTTTGCACTCTGTATGAACCAGGTAATCTGACACTTGGAGCCTGTGGTTTAGCAAACCCAGGCTCATTGCCTAGGTGTTTTCTGTCTGAGAGGGGAATGGGTCAGGTCAGAGTCAATAAACACTAATGAATTGCCTACTGGACCCAGGAGTGCTTTACTTTCCCTTGTTCTACCAGGTATTTCCACTTATGTGTCCTCTTTATACCATTGGCTTAAAATATAGAACAGATACTCTACTGAAAGTCACTCAGCGTTACCACACTGCCCTTCTGTGAATACACGTTAATGAATGAGAAGTGAGCCTTGGGAGATAGAAAATGCTTTAGAGATGAAAAAAAGGCCTGACCATCAAATATTCATATCTGTAATTTCAATCTTTAATTGTATATTTATAATTTATTTAGTTGGTTTTTTCAAAGCTCTTAAAGCCATAAATGATTGCTAAATATTGTTAGGATAAGTTAGGATTGCTAAATATTGTTAGGATATGATTTAGCTAATGACAGAATATTTTATGGAAAATCACTTTGAGAGGAATCCTTCAAGAATCCATTTTTGTTTTGGAAGCTCTGCTTGGCCAAGCACATTGAGTAAGGGCCATCTCTAAGTAAGGAATTTGTATTCTTCTTGAGACAGATCTATTATTCAGCACTGCCCTGTGATATACAAGTCTGGGCAGTCTAGCCATCAAAATTGGGCCATCTTGGACTGCCTGTTCTTCCTTCGGCAGATTCAAACCACAGAGCTGACATGTGACCAGTCCATCACTGGAGAACAGAACCAAAGGTCCCTCATACACAGAACAAACTCGTATTAATAAAGACAGATGAAAAAAACGAGGTAGTGAAAAGTACTGATATTTTTCATTGAATGATGTGTGCCTGTTTTTTTCTTTTCTTCTTTTCTAGGTTAATTTGGCTGCTGATGTTACATTCTTGCAAGACAGACTAAAAGGCGACAGTGTGACAGAAATAGGAATAACATTTCTGAAAAAGCTGGATGAGAAAAAATGTAGACGGAAAAAGTGAAGAATGGCATGGAAAATGCCACCAGCGGCTAGCTGACAATGACTGTTAGCTAATCAGGCACAGCCATCGAAGCTCTATGGTGCCTGCTAGCATGGGCTTTGAAAAGCTTATAATCCAATCAGAAACCTGAAAGGCAGGGAATGAAGATTTTTCTTTTGCTTGTGCATCACACATTTTAAAGGTTTCATATAAAAATAGCTCCTTATAAAACCGCAAGCATGAATTCTATGTATTACTCTATCTAGCCTCAGCTAATCTATCCATCCAAGTACTTATGGCAATAGAAAAAGAAAGGTACCACCTATACAATCAGTGTATTATCTCTTTTCAATAGAAAAAAAATGAAGTGACACAGCATTACAGAGACAATTTCTAAATACTGTATATGCCAGATCTATTTGCAGCGTTGTGCTGAATAGCTTTAGTGTCAACTTGACACACCTGGGTTGAGGGCGCTTCAGTTGGGGAATTGCCTTCATTGGACTGGCCTCTGGCCATGTCTGTGGGGCATCTTCTTGATGAGTGATGTGGGAGGGCCCAGCCCACTGTGGGTGGTGCCATCCCTGGGCAGGTGGGCCTGTGTTGCATAGGAAAGCAGGCTGAGCAGGGGCCAGGGGAGCAAGCCAGTAAGCAGTGATCCTCCATGGTCTGTGCTTCAGCTCCTGACTCCAGGTTCTTGCCCTAAGTTCCTACCTTGGGTTCCCTAATGAACTATGACCTGGGAGATATAAGCCAAATAAACCCTTTCTTCCCCAAGTTGAGAGTGGTCAGAGTGGTTTGTCATAGCAATGGAGAAACAAACTAAGACAAGCGTTTTCTGTGCGTGTGTGTGTGTGTGTGTGTGTGTGTGTGTGTGTGTGTGTTTATGAATCTTATTCTTGTTCTAATATATTACCTTGGGTTATAACTTTAGCTTCCTGAACTATACCTTAGTTGTACTGGTCAAGGCAAGCTATTGTCTAGAGGCCAGGTCTGACACATTTAAAAGAGTATTTAATTTTCATTTAATTTTAAATTTTAATTTCTTTAAATTGGAGATAGCTAGCATCAAGCAAATAACTGTTTCTCATGAAACATTGCTGGTGATCAGCTAGAAAGGACATCTCTAAAATGAGAGGTAAATGTTCTTTCAGAATACTTTACCTCAATGTCTACTCACTAGAATGCTTACTATCTTTTTAATCCCCTAAAAATCTTCCAAAGAGTACTTTGTGACCAAAAGCATCTAAAATTCTGAATGTGCTAGAATCAATAAACAGCAGGACAGCACACAGGACAGTCTACAAGGCAGACCTGAAGCTACTAGACTTTTGGAGAACTCAAACTACAAGTTAAAGTCACAATGAATGTGATCCCATGAGGTAACACTCCTGTAAGTGGGGCTGGAGATGCAGTCACTGGTAGAGTGTTTACCTTGCAGGATCAGTATCCCAGAGCCCATTCCTGACACTAAAAACAAAGTAACAGTGAATAGGGTGGTATGGTAATATGTTAGTGACAGATGTCAGGTAGGATTCAGGAGCCTGGGGCATCCAACCTTTACTGAGTTTTTTAGAGGTCTAAGCTGATCCTAATTAATGGCTAATCCTGGGCAAGTTTCCCTGTTCCCTCCCTGTCCTCTTTTCCCCTCTTCTTTTTTTCTCTCCTTTCTCTGACTTTTTTAAGCTTTTAAAAAAGATTTATTTTTATTTTTAAATGTGTATGTGTGTTTGTGCATGTGAGTTCAGGTGCCAGCAGAAGCCAGAGGCATTGGATCCCCCAGGAGCTGGAGTTACAGGTGATTGTGAGTCACCTGACATGCTTTCCGGGAACTAAACTAGGGTCCTCTGGAAGAGCAGTACAAGCTCTTAACTGCAGAGCCATCTCCCCAGCCCTCTTTGGTATTTATTTTAAGATTTATTTAAAATCTCTCTCTCTCTCTCTCTCTCTCTCTCTCTCTCTCTCTCTCCCCTCCGTGTGTGTGTGTGTGTCTGTGTGTGTGTGTCTGTGTATGTGTGTGTCTGTGTCTGTGTCTGTGTGTGTGTCTGTGTCTGTGTGTATACATGTCAGATCCCCTGGAGCTGGAATTACAGGTGGGTGTAAATCACCCAATGTGGTGCTGGGGACAGAACTCTGGTATAACCATTGTGCCAACTCTCCAGCCCTTATCTCTCTGTTTTTAAATGAGGGGATTGGACATGGTAAATATTTACAATGAATGGGTTTAAATGACATAGATGAGCCCTGAAATTTCACTTTTTGGGCTCTAGAAGACAACAATGAAATTGTTCCTCACCTCCCAGCTGTCTCTGAAAAGGCCACTGAGGTAGGCACAAATGACTTAAGAGTCCCGGGGGAAGCTACAAGATCAGTGCACATCCCTTCAGGTGTGTCACTGGGAACCAAAGTAGACCCTGGAAGAAGATGACAGCTGGTGTCGGGAAAGATACATGATGTAATGTGTTATAAACTGGTGCCTTCAGAAGAATGCTTGTCTCCTGGGCATCCCAAAGCTTCTTTGCAGGATTTTCCCACCACCTGCCCAATTGCCTCTATTTCCCTTTTACTATGCTTGCCTATCCAGGAACCCCTGGAGATCCTGCTAAGGGGCTTCCTCTTTGACCAGTACCCACTAGCTCTTTTGAAAATTTTCTTTGCCTTGGACTATTCTCCTACTTGTCTATTCTTTATTTCCTGTCTCTCTCACGCTAGCTGTCAAAGCCCACAGCTCTGCAGGTGACTTTACCTGATAATTATCAGTGGCACAGAGCATAGGAACTGATGATGGCATCAAAATAAGTATCATTTATCACCTTTTATTTCATCATCCTGGAGGGAGGGGAGAGTCTTGGCATTGAGTTTATGCTCTGAAATGTGGTCTGCATACATAGCAGAGGAACTTGTCTGTATTCAGTACGTGTTTCATCCAGAAGACTATGAGAGTCTAGAAAGTCTGCATTGGAGTAGTGAGAGACACATATCATGTTAGATTTTATCTCATTTTTTGTTTTGAGAAAAGGTTGCACGTGGCCCAGTCTGGTCTTGAACTCCTGACCCATTCACTTGCACTTTCCAAGTGCTGAGATTTCAAGCATGTACCACCAGGACCTAGCTAGTTTCCCAATACTCACACTACAGTATAAAAGAAACAAGTGGCATTCATTTTAATAATATATTTCATTTATATTTATTATCCAAAATAATGTTGTTTTAGCATGGACATTTTGCGTTCTTTTTTATAGTAAGTCTTTGAAATCTACTGTGTATTTAACATATCTCAGTTCAGCAGTAAATAATAATAATCTTTCTGAAATAATAAAGTGTTATTAGTGGTGTTTAACAGTTTTGGTTTTTAAATCAGTTAAAATTAAACTGAATTAAAATTTCCACCACACTAGTCACATTGTGACTGTTGATAGTGACATGTGTCTGTAGCTGCTGTCCTGAGTTGCATAAATCTAAAATTCTCAAAGGTTCAGCGACTCTTCTCCCACTGATCTGGAACGTCAGCAAAGACACAGCAGTCTGCACTATGGTGTCTCCACCCACTGAGTATGACCCAGAGAAGCCGTGATGTGGGCTGCACAGCATCCCTGTGTTCTGAGAGTCTTCACCACTCTTACGGGAAGTTGCATCTTTCTGATTAGGGGCTTGCAGTTCAGCAGAACTACAGGCTATATTAGATATTTTAAATTATAATATTCTTTATTAAAATTTATTTATATATGTATATTTCATTTTAATTTTTATTGAATTTTTGTGTATTTCATACAGAAAGTCACCTTTATACCTCCTTCCCCTTTGGCACCCTCCCATAGCCCCCTGGCTGGAGTTCATACATTCTGTCATCCTTGTCAAGGCCCACTATGTAAAGTTAGTGTCCCCAGATGTCCCTCAGTGCAAGTTCATCCGCTGGGGTTTAGTCAACCTGTTGAAAGTCTCTCCCTTCAAGAAGATCAGCTCTTCCTCAACCAGCAGGAATCAGCTGCCAATAATTCTTCCATTAAGATTGGGGTTTGCTGTTCATTTCCATAGTTCTGGGCTGGGTTTTTGTCTGCCTAAGTTTGTGTGGGTCTTATGTATGCAGTTTGGACTCCAAACTTTGATCGAAACAGTTTTTTATCATCTTGGCAAAGCCAAAGGCAAAGAACTGCTGGAGACAGACTGGTGCTGTTCGAACGGCAGCCCAAATTGTTGTCTGGGCCATTTCCTACCAAGCCTATCTCGTTTGCCTGTTCAGTGTGCGCAGTTGTCAGTGGTCAGAAATACTTCCCTCAGCACCCTGGGCTCTCATTCCTTGTCTTTCCCAGCTGCTTGTTTTCCTCTATATCTGGGGGAAGCCTGGATCTCTTCAGCAGTTAGACTGTTAGGAAAGAGTGGAAAGTTCTTTCTTTTCCATGATTATGAAAGACCGAATGGAAATGTGGGAAAACAAATGCCTGAAGTGAGAGAATATTGAAGATTGTGTAACCAAAGAGACTTGCTTAACAAAGTTCGCTATTATTTTACCAAAAAAAATCTGCTAAATATTAACCTCTACACTTAATGCTGAATATTGATATTATCTACTGTATGACTCCAGCTGGGGTTGTACACTCTGTGCAGTCATTATATTTCATACCTTTATTTGCCAGCTGTGAAATTAATTAAAATCTTCTCAGTAATGCTGAAGGAGCCCGTGATAGAGTCATCGGCCAGCAGTGGAACTCAGTATGGCAAAAGATCCTAAAAATATTTTTTTAGTGGAGGCAAATTTTTATTTACTTCACTTGACTGTTTCTTTTTTGCTTGTGTCTGTGTGTGTGGTGTACATGCATGTGTGTATGTGTGTTCATGTGAGGGGGCATGTATATGTGGACGAGTGTGTGCATGCATGTGAAAGCCTGAAGTTGATATCTGGAGTCTTCCTTAACCATTGTCTATTCATTGAGTCAAGGTTTCTCAGTTAAACCCAGAGCTTGCCAATATGCTGGTCTAGGTAGCCAGTTTAGCTACCTATGCTAAACCTATGCTAGGGATCC